CCTACAAAAGGAATTACAAGCAACTTATGGAATAATGTATTATTTATAAGCAAATAAAGAAGTTACTGGAAGAATCATAGCAATGACTCAGGGTAGAAAGCTGCTTTCTTGCATTTAAAAGCTCTTCTGTACAGCTCTATCACTAACTATTCTAAATAAAGGTGTCAGGTGGCCTCAAAGCATTGTAAGCTCTGTGCCATCAGAAATACATTAAGTCACTAAAGGGAGGAAAGGACATAGTTTGTGATTAATTTGTCCATGATTATAAAGGAAGAAAAAGAACTTTCACCCATAGATACAGTTTGAGAGCACAGTTGGAAGGACTCTGATTGGTGGCCTGGGAACCATGGTTTTCTCAGTCTGACCCAGGATCCACTTTGTGACCAAGCTGGTCGAGGTATTATTATCAGACAAAAAGGACATAGAGGATGCTAGGAAGACCAAGAACAAACTTCCCATGTATCATTGTCATTAATTCGGCAAATACCTACTGATAATGTAGAATACATCGTACACTGGGAGAGAAGTAATTAAGAGAAATGTCAAATTCCAAGGATTTCTAATCCTTACAGTTTAATGCACAGGGAAAATATTAAATAGCTTATAGTTTAGGTGAGGAGATAAAATTTGACACAATAAAGCAATGGTTAACAGTACTACATGGTATATAATTGAATGTTAAGTTGTGTGGTATAGGCCATAAGTGGCATATTTGTTCCAAGGAGAGGAAAATCAATTCAGTAGTCGTGAACCTCACCTAGGACTTGAAGGATAGAATTGGCTGGATGAGAAGAGGGGAAGGATTTCATATGAAAGCAGAGGAATTCAGAAGAAAAGACTTTTATGCCTGAAGGGACAGAGACAGAAAGCAGTACAGTCATTTCTGGATCCAGTGAGAAGGTGGTCTTAGTACTAGCACAATGCACGCAGTATGTGAGAGTTCATGAACCACATGGCTAAGGCTACTTACCCTCCCTTCCCTACTAGAATAATGTCAATAACTTTATGATGTTGGACAAACCCACAAGTATTAGAATTTGATGGGAATCACACCCTTAGTTATCAACTTCCAGATCTACTTCCAGAAAAAAAAGACAGTGATTTTTATCATGAGGATCCAGGAAGAGGTCAAGAATGGGCACTTCTACATATGCATAACCTTCAAAAGGGTCAATATAGTCTGAAAGGACTACTGGAGGACAAATAACTTGAGTATTGGATACATTAAAAGCTGGTTAAAAATTCCACAATTTGAAGCTTTCTGCTCCTATAAAGATTTACAGCCTCAGAAACCCTGTGCAGGGTCACTTTGAGTTCAAACCGACTCTACAGCACATAACAACAACAATTTGACTTTCTGATTATGACAGATATTGCTTTTTCCATTGCCTTAGAATAAAATCCAAATGTCTTAGCATGGAGCATATGACACCTTGTCTATCTTTCTAGTCACACTCCTGGCTCTGCCTGAGAGGTTCCAGCCACATGAAACCATGGGGACATCTCTGAAAGGAGAAGCCTGTCTTCTCATGAATGCCCCGTTCCTCTTCTTCTGCTTAGCTACTTTCTACTTTTAATATCCAATTTAAATATTTCTTCTTCAGAAAGTGTAGGTAGCAGGATTATGCGTAATTTAAATTTATTTATTTGCATTTAAAATTTGTCTACATGAATATTTATCAGAATGCAAATTATCAAGGAAAGATCATTCAAGTAAAAATGACAGTGGAGCAAGGGGAAAGACCACTTTATGAGACCACACTAGAATTTCCCTACAAAGTAATCCCAGGGAGTAATTCAAGAATAAAAGTTTAATTTCAAAAACAAAGTGACTTTTTTCCTCATTGGATTGGCAAAGTTTAAAAAAAAAGGTAATTAGAAGGGAAGACTCATTTACTACTGGTATAAATTGGTATGATCATTTTGCAGGGTCATTTGTTAGTAATTACGAGCTCTGGTAGCGTAGTGGTTAAGAATCTGGCTGCGAACCTTAAGGTCAGCGGTTCGAAACTACCAGCCACTCCGTGGGAGAAAGATGAGGCTTTCTACTCCCGTAAAGATTTACACCCTCGGAAACCCTGTACAGGGTCGCTATGGGTCGGAACCGACTCGACGGCACTTAACAACAACAACAACAATAAAAACAAAACAAAAAAATACTGTTTTACCTAGTAACTTTACTTCTAGGAATTTGTTCTAAAGAAATTACCTGCTCAAGGGTACAATTATACACACAAGGTGGGTGGGGTGGGCAGTGGTGGTGGTGGTGGTTATGTGCCGTGGGCACAAAATAAAAATGTGAGATTCCTTGCTCGAAAAGCAGGAAAAAAGTGTCATTAAACATACTAAAATATAAAACAGTTTCCTCTCTTCCATGATTTATTTCTTGACCTGTCACAGTGCTTTTAAAACTTTCTATTTAAAGGCACACCTTATCAAGGGCCAGTACATTCACCAGCAAGGGCAGGCCCCTTAGTTACTTGGAAAATCGTCACATAACTGCCACATTACATATTACATAACAAACCACTGAGAATCATGGCCAGCTAAGCTGACACATATTTTGGGGTGGGGTGGGGGTGACGCAATTCAATCCATGACAGGAGCTAAGGGCTACAATCTTGGGGAACAACTAAGCCAATTGGCATAATACAGCTCACAAAGACGATGTTCTGTGTTCTACTGTGGTATATAGCTACTGGAGTCTGAAAAGCTAGTGAGGGGTCATCTAAGATGTAACTATTGGTCTCTCCCAAATAAGAATAAGCAAAGAAGAATGAATAGAATAAAAGACTCAAGGAAACAATTAGTCCAAAGGGCTAATGGATCATGTAAAACAGTTTCCATTATCCTGATAACAGAAGAATTATATGGTGCACAACAATCACTAACTAATGTTTTAATAGTGACCACAAAAGGCCCCGGACAGACAGAAACTGAGGACCCTAGGACCATCAAGAGAGAAGCGCACAAGCAGAGTGCAGGACCTTATCCAGAGAAGCAGCAGCACCAGAGATGGAGGCAGAGATGGGGGCATGGAGAGGGGGAGCGGCTCTAGATTCATCAACTAAGAAGAAAAGGACTAGGAACTGGTGGCCAGGAGCAGACTTGCAGAATGTGCCCTTTGGAGATGTAAATTATTATATATGCCTGAGTGGGTTTTTTTGTTTGTGTGTTTTTTAAAAAGCTAAAGTGGATAGAAATACTTTTAACTCATGGTTTATGGAGGGGATTATAATCAATGTAATGAAACAAGTTATATGAATGGTTGAATGTAAAATTGATGAATTGATGATGTGCCCTGTAAACTTTCACTCAATCCACAATAAAAACCTTAAATTAAAAAAAAAAAAAAAAAAAAAAAAAGAAGGCCCTGGACAGAAAGGGAGAAAAATGTTGAATAAAATTAAAAATCACACAAAATCACAGACTTACAGGTCTGATAGAGACTACTAGAACCCCTGAGACTGAGACCCTCAGACATCTTCAGACCTGGAACTTAACCCACCTCTGGGGTCACCTTGCAGCCAAACAGCAGACAGGATTCTAAAGTGACTAACAGCACTCATGGGGAATGTACTCCTCAGAACAATTAACCAAAAGAGTAGCATTTGTCTCAAATCAAAGCGCAGAAGGCAGGTAGGGGCAGGAACGAAAGATGAATAGAAACAGGGAACCCAGGGAGAAAGTAGAAAGGGTGCTATTACATTAAGGGAATTTCAACTAATACTATGAAACATGTACAAAAATGGTGTGGAGGCCATGTCTGACTTCCTCTGACTTCACTTAAAATCAGCCCAAGGCCGATTCCTATGAAGCAGAGGTCAGACATACTTCCACCCTACAACCTTCTTTATTCTGACACTCAACCATCCTTTCCACAGCACTCTGCTTCACATCTGGGTTCAAGAATTCATTGCATTGACCACATAGAACTCATAGATAATACTCAAGATTATAGGATTTATCAGGGAAGTGAAATGGGTATCATTCAGGAGCAGCAACAGCTCAGGATGCAGCAGGGATGTCTCTTCTCTCCCTTACTGCATACATGCCTCTCAGCCATGTGGCTTCTAGGCTCTGCCCTGCTCTGACAAGTGTTACAAAGCTTCTTACCCAGTTTGTAAACGTCCAAAGGGCACATTATGCAAGCCAGATTCCTGCCCATAGACACTCAGCTTCACTCAGTCCATGGGCCTAGAAGCCTGCTTCACTCATGTTCTTCTTTATTGATGGTCCTGGGATTCTCTATTCCTGCTTCTGATAAGCCTCCTTTTAAAACCAATGGGATGGCAAAACTAACCAATCCCAGCATTTGAGTCTTATACACTCTATTTGCATGGTCACATCAATGGAGTTCTGGTGTGGCGCTGTGGGTTAATGTAAAGTCAGTTTGATCCGCAAGGTCAGCAGTTCAAGCTCACCAGCCGCTCCTCGGAAATCCTATACAGGGTCACTATGGTTCGGAACCGACTTGATGGCACTTACAACAATAGCCCATTCATTTGGTGGGAATTAAGAAGACTTTGGATAGAAAATCATATCAAATAAATTTAAGGTACCACAAATATGTATAAATTGCTGCAAGGAAAGAGTGGCTGGTGGGTTTGAACCACCAGTCCAATGCTTATCCTATAGCACCACACCAGGACTCCAAGTGTGTGTAAGTATGCACATATAAAAGAATGTTGAGAGGGATACTTCAAACCTTTAAAACTGACTAGGGGAAGAAGCAATGTCTCTACCTTTTACAATTATAATATTTCAATTTTTACTATTAGCACATATTGTTTCTGAATAAATAACAACACAAAAACAAAAAACATTCAACTCTAACACTTAGAAACATCTGTCTACACTGCAGTGAAATATGATGACTTCATTTACCATTTAAGAATATAAAAAGACCATGGGAAAAATCTCCCTGTCTGTAAAAAATACAAAAGATACTACTCATTAAAATTCTTACCAGTCTTTTCACCCTGTCTTTTCATTCTTACCATCTTTGCTGGGCTCCTCAACAGGGGAGGCTGATTCTATCCACTCTAGGACTTCATTTGTGATCTCAACGACCTGAAGTCTCCTTACTCTGACTAGGTCGGTATTTTTCAAGCCGTTCTCCAATTGTTTGACCACCTGTTTTCCAGGCTGGGAAGTCAGAACAGTAATCTGGAAATAAATCCAAGAATCAATGGGTCTATGCTCTCTGACACACAGAGTGAGGACAGTAACAGGTTACACTGGGAGGTCAAACATAGTAAAAATCTGTGGTAGTGGCTTTCGTGTTTAACGCAAAGAACAGACATGACTTACACACTGAATTTCATTGAACAGATTCTGGTAGAACAGGTCTGGTGGGACAGGTCATTCCAGAATCCTTCCAATCGGACTAAGTCGACCCCAGAAAGCAACCCAGAAGGCTATATCTCTGTTTTAGTCTTTCATGATTACTTTAAGAACTGGTATCATCTCTCCCACTTAAAATGCTTTATTTTTATGAGGAAACAAAGGAAATAGGATCCTTGATTTTCACTTGCTAAACAGTGTACTAAATATTAGAGAACTGGTATGTTCTTCTCCCATGGTGGTGTTTTGTGTAATTTTCTCAGATTGATTTATCTCCTTGCTCAACCTGGATCCAGTTGAGGGATTTCTCTTGCTCTCTTGACTCTAAACTATATTTACACTTGGCCAATTTGAGGGTTCTTCAAAAGTTCGTGGAAAATTAAATTAAAAGGTAAAAATAAAAATATGAACTTTATTTTTCAACATAAGCTCCATCAAGTTCAAGGTACCTTTATAAGTGATGATACCAGCCATTTAGTCCATCCCCAAAGAACTGAGAGTCCTGGAATTTCAACATGTCAATGCAGTCTTTTTTACATTATTAACTGAAGAAAAATGGGTACCCTTTAAGGATTTTTTAAGATTACGAAACAAGAAGCCAGAAGAAGGCAAATCAGGACTGAAAGGTGGATGTCTAATGATTTCCCATTTGAACCTCTTGCAAAATTGCCTTTGTTTGATGACAGCAATGAGCAGGAGCATTGCTGTTTTGGAGGACTATCTGGTGTTGTTTTCCTGCTAAAGCTTTGGTTAACTTTCTCAAACCACTTTCATAAGAAGCAGATGTTATTGCTCTTTTGTACTCCAAAAAGTCAACAAGCAAAATGTCTTGAGCATCTCAAAAACTGTTGCTATGACCTTTGCATGACTTTTGCTCTTGAATGGTCCACTTTTGCTTTGACTTGTAACACTTCCACCTTTTGGTAGCCATTGCTTTGCTTGTGCTATGTCTTCAAAATTATACTGGTAAAGCCAGTTTTCATCTCCTCTTAAAATTCTTCCAAGAAATGGTTCAGGATTTCCATTGAAATCTCTGCTCTTGTTTGCAGCTGATCAGGGCACAACAGTTGTAGGTAGAAAGTTTGCTCGACTTGGATTTTTTTCAGTTAGAATTGTGCAAGCTGAACCAATTGAGATGTCTATACTGTTGGCTATGGTTTTTGCTGTTAATCATGATTCCTCTTCAATTAGGGCACAAGCAAGATTCATTATTTGCTTACAGATTGATGTCGATGATTTACTGCTGCAGGCTTCACCTTCAACATTACCTTAACCCTTCTTAAATCTAGTTTTCTATTTGTAAACTGCAGATTCCTTTGGGGCGTTGTCCCCATAAACTTTCTGTAAAACATCAATGATTTCACCATTCTTCCACCCAAGTTTCACCATAAATTTGATGCTTGTTCTTCTTTCAATTTTAGCAGAATTCATATTGCTCTGCTAGGGTTTTTTTTCCCAACTCATGTGTTATCCTTCTTAATACTAAAAATTAGATTCTGTGCAAACATGTTACAACAACTTTGTTGTTAAGCGACATCGTATCAGTTCTGACTCATAGCCAACCTGTATAGGGTTTCTGAGGGGCGGTTGGTTAAGTTTGAACCGCTGACTTTGTGGTCCAGTGCTTATCCTACAGCACCTCATCAGGACTCTAAACAACTTGGTGGTGGTTGGTGGTTGTGTGCTGTGGAGTTAGTTTCAACTCATAGCAACCCTGCAAAGGGTTTCCGAGACTGTAAATCTTTATGGGAGCAGAAAGCCTCATCTTTTTTTCATGGAATGGCTGGTAGTTTCGAACTGCTGACTTTAAGGTTAGCAGTCTGACCTATAACCACTACACTACCAGAGCTCTTTCCAAACAACTTAGCATAAGTTTATTTTGGCGCAAAAAGTTTTTTGAAATCCATGAATAGTTTTTTCATTATATGTATGAACTTTTCGAAGATTCCTTGTACAAATAATGAGGTATTTGTGTATAGGTTGCATATTTTATTTTATTTGAATAAATACGTTGTATGTTTTTACCAGCATGTCTACCTGGGATTTTGAAACTCTGGAACACAAATGTTAATTACATACTTAGAAGTTTTTGACTAATAAAGAGGGATGCAGGTGAAAGTAAAAATATCTTTGATTTATCTTTTCTTCAGGTTACTCAGAGACAAAGTGTTTTAACTTTCATTCATACTTCCAATGGAGTGTGCAGCCATGGTTTACTTACATTTTTAATATTGCCTAAGTCTGCTACAAAAATTGCAGCAATTTTTACATTTGCATATTTACTCAATTTGATTCTATAAAGTTTTTATTCTACAATTTGACTCTACAAGTTTTGCTCTATGAAAACAAAAGCTCTCTTACCCAAGACACTAACAGTCATTTTAGTGTTAGAAACCTATGTGCTGTATAATAATTGTTGTTGTTGAGTACCGGTGAGTTGGTTCTGATTCATAGCGAATCAAAGGGTTTCCGAGAAGCAGTTGGTGGGTTTGAACACTAACCTTGCAGTTAGCAGACCAATGCTTATCCTACAGCACCACACCACATTTTAATGCAAATAATGTATGTTTTTTGAAAATCATGGTTGTTGTTGTTGTTGTTAAGTGCCGTCGAGTCGGTTTCGACCCATAGCGACCCTGAACAGGGTTTCCGAGGCTGCAAATCTTTACGGGAGCAGATCGCCTCATCTTTCTCCCGCGGAGCAGCTGGTAGTTTCGAACTGCGGACCTTGCGGTTCGCAGCCCGATTCGTAACCACTACGCTACCAGAGCTCCTTTGTACCCCCTCACAATTTCCTATGCTCACTATGTACATTATGAATGTGTGCATTATTTATACATATTCATGAAAATATGTATATATATAATCTTTAAAGCTTGTAGATTTGTTAACCTCAAGTACAGCAATTCAAATACAATACTGTGCTTGAGCTTAGCTGCTCCATGGGAGAAAGATGAGGCTTTCTACTCCCAAAGAGACTTACAGATTCAGAAAATCGGCACAGGGTCACTATGAGTCAGAATTCACTCGATAGTAGTGAGTTGTGTTTTTTTGTTTTATAGTTATGCCTTAAACCATAACTAAACTTTAAAAGTAGCTTGTCTTGTTTCAGATAGTTGTATTTAATTAATCAGATCCACTGAAACGCTTGAAACATATCCTTTCAGAAAACAATGGATGATTAATGAACATGTGCCTATTTCCAAGACTCCAGAGGTCTAGCAAACACAGCTCACTGATTTTGTGATTGTCAGTACGGTTTTTATTTAAGCTTTGATACTGTTTGAGCTCGTACTGCTCTTTTAAAAGATTTGTATATTCAACATTGTCACCAACCAATCAAAATTGTTTTGTTTAAAGTTCCTGATAAAATTACAAAATACAGCATTTTGAAAATCTTACAGTACTGATTTACTAGGTAGCGATGTGCTGCCCAACTTCAAAATTGTTCATTAAAACCTGCACAGCAATTTGTTAATTGTATTCTGAGTTGTTTATTTTTGACATTTCCAAGATTTTATTAAGAACACTTATAAAATCCTAAGGGTACCTGAGTAAATATTAATACAGACAGCAATCTAGCCATTTAATGTTTGCTTTACAAGTTCCAAAATCTGGAAGTGATGGCATATTCAGATTTTATTTGGAATCCATTTCAGTCAATATTTTTAGAGTTCATCTCTATGTCTAGTTCTGTACTAAGAATTACACAGGTTATAGGAAAAATAGAAACATGTCCTTTGCCTGGAGGGAGCTAAAACAAAATATAGCTTTGAAAATTATACTTGATGTGTATGAACTAGAAAGCAATATAAAGCTGAAAAATAATGAAGCACCTAGGTGGAGTGAAATAGGAAGAGGCTTGGAGTCCTAAAAGGCAGCATCTCTTACCTCTAGGGAAGTGCAGGTCAGAGCTGCACTTGTGGACACATGTCTGCTGTATTGTTTGAACTGCTGAAGACCATCCTCAACTGCCAACTTCAGAGAACTGCACTGTGGTCTGAAACATCCTTCTTTCTGTACCATGCGTAGCTCTGA